TGGATACTTAAGCAGATAAGGGCTTTCCAGTTAGGACTTCAGCATACAGTCATGAAAAGCTCTGGGACCGGACATCGTGAAGGTGAATAATGTATCTTTAGGCTTGTAATGTACATGTCATAACTGCCCTCTGTGCCTGGTTGCTGATACAGGTGCTTCTGAAGCTTTACAGTGAACTGGAGAGCAAGGAATTGATGTGGTTTAAAACTAAATTTAAAGTATGTCTGTTTTGTGGTTTGTTTTTTTTTTTCCCTCTTTATGTGAACCAGGGAGAGAAGTAGCAGGAACAAACTAGCAAATGAAAGGTGGGACTGCTGCTTTTGGCAGCAATGTTGGCCTACACTAGTTCAGTGATGGTAAAAATATGGTGTAAGCACAAACTGAATTTTTGATGTGTTGAGTATATACTACTGTATGATACCAAACGTGGAATCAGAATGTATGTAAAAGGAAAAATTCACTCAGTCTGATGTCAGTGTAAGCTGTTGCTAATACTTCTGCAGCTTTTTTGTTTAGCACAGTGAAGATGTGCTTTCTCTCATGCATTAGAGCTGTGGTAACAACTGAACTTTAGCATGTCATCTGTTCAAAGCTGAGTCTGTGAAATGGGTTAATTTGCATCTAAAAATGAGATGTGCAGTAGAACTGTTACTAGTAGGTGGGGAAAGCAAAGTGAAGTTAGTCTTTTTTGTCCAGTAGAAATACTACCTGTGAAAGTTTGACTTGTTCAGTTTGTAGTCTTTTAGGGGTAGGCTACATAAGTATGGAGAAGTGTTTAAGTTTTATGATAGTTTGTATTTTCACAGCACTGTAAAAAAAGCTACATGCAGCAGCTTGTGTCTGGTGGCTAGTAGGTATCCTCCTTAATTCTGAGGATGACTTCCCTGAGTTGAAGTCTAACTCTTCAAGGTGTAGATGAAGATTTTTAGTGCTCTTGTCCTAAATAACAGATGTCTTGTTTACTCTTTGCCACTGGCTAAGCTTGATTCCTTTTAAAAAAACAAACCAAACCAAAAAAGCTTGTGCAACAAGCCATCCCACAAAGGGTTCAAAACTTGATGATGATCTCTGAAGTAGTCAAATAGATTCCTACTAGACTTGTAGAAAATAGGAACTCAGTGTTCGGACTGTGGGAGAGAGCGTGTGTGGTCTTGCTCTCCAGACAGCCATGAATCCATGCAGAGGAGAGGCTTTCATTACATCTCCCAACCATGGGAAAAACTTAATTGGAGTTTGCATTTCATTATATACTGAAGTCCTCAACTGTTTGATGTAAATCTGTAGGAAACTGGCTTTGATAATTATGGTGCCCATGGCCTATGCCAGCACCACTCCCTTATTTGCAAGAAATAGTGCTATCAACAGAGATAATTATCCCAAGAGGTCTCATAATGCTAGTTGTCCCAGTATTGCTGTTGCTGAGAAGCATTTGAAAAAAGTATAGGGCTACTTTTACCACAGGCATTGGTCTGATGTTTTAGAACATCTGCAGAACTTCAGAAGTGCCCCTTAGATCTGTGTGTGAGGAGGATGGTCTAGAAATGATCATTCTATCTTTGTGAAATTTAATTTCTCCTAGTTTGTTTTATTAGCTGGAAGCAACATTTGTTCTAGGCTTTTTGGTGGGATGGAGGGTTCCAACTGCAGGTTGTTTTTGGTAATGCTGGCCATCTTGTGAAGCAAGAAGTTGTCATGCCAATGTGCTGGTCCCTAAGGTGCATGAGGCTTCTGGAGCTATTGGAAGGGTGCAGGGAGAAAGGAAATGGGACAATGCTTGTGGAGAGGGGTTGTGAGAGGATTCAAGAAGGAGCTTTTGCTCAGTTTACGAAGCTCCTATTGGCTATGGGGAAGCTCAGTCTCGCAGTGTTCTGTGATGGGGAATTTGTGGCCTTAGTTCTTGTCCCTCCTCTTCCTGTGCAGTTCCATCCTGCTGCTGCCCAAGAGGAGGCAATTGTTGCTCATCCAGGCACTGCTCAGTAGAACAGTTGAGAAAAATGAAAGATAGGAGGGCTGCTTCTCTCACTATAGCTCCTTGTGCCTGTGCTTAGAAGAGCTGACTGGGCAAGGTGTGGGTGGCCATGCCTGTGTTCCTCCTCCTGAACGCTGAAACCCACCACGTCCTGCGGGACAGCTCAGTTTAGAAAGGCAGGGACTTGCCAAGAAGTGAACGTGGATCTGCTGCCTCAAGAGCAATCTTACTTGTACACTTAGCAGGGCAGAGACAGTGGGTGGGTGCAGCTCCTGTTGTGGCTGACAAGATCCCATGGCTTTAATATCAGTTCATTTGGTATGTAGATTGTTTAGGTAGTGGCAAGGAAAGGTGTGGCCCAAGTGCCATGGGCAGTGTTGGTTTGTGGTGAACAAGTTGAGAGTCCTGGCCTAGGAAAAAATGAAAGCGTCTGCTGGCTGTGGAGAGGAAAGAGGCAAGTTTTTCAACATGTATTTTTTACCTGTAAAACACATATGTATGCCTAGTAATTGTCCTAGCTCTTTTTACTAGTGTCAGATCAAAATACAACTTATGTCTATAATTAAAGCATAACAAATATTAAAACTACTGCTCAATTCCTCTTGCCCTTTTGTGCAAATGAAATTTAGAAATTGGCACAAAGAAAACCTTTATGAAAACTTGTCAGTGCTAATCAGGATGAATGAATTAAACTCTCACTTTGCTTGTGTTTCCTTCCTATTTGAAGTTTCCAAAAGGCCTTTTAACCTTGAGCGGCTTCTTTTTTTAAAAAAGATAATTAAGTCCCAGAGACCTGAAATGAAATCAAGTAGCCTTTCCCAGTTACAATTGTTCATGAACAAGAGAAAAACCAAACAAAATAACCCCACTAGCCTGGTTTTAACTTTCAGTGGATCTACTTAAAATTCGGTATTGCTTAACAGTTACACAAATACAAAAAAAATTAATTACAAAATATAAAGCTGGTGATGATACTAGTTGTATGTTATTTCTGAAGGAGTTATTGCTTTCTCAGGTTTTCAAACAAAAATACTTGTAGAAAGAATGCTGTCTTCAGGCAAGTTGAAACTTGCTGGCATATTCATGGTAATATAGTGTCTCTGAAAGAAAGCACATGTATATATCTAGGAAGATTCAAATCATTCCTATTTTAAGGGCTGGTATTTAAGTTGCTTGTGGATTGTATTGATATCTTTCTAGGAATTGGTCTCTTGTGACAGGGGACTGCTGTGTTAACTGAGTGCTACTCTTCTCTTATGTAGGGTTAATAGCAAGTTTCCAAGATAGATGTAGACCTGGCATGAAATAGTGATTTATTCCTGTTGTTCTGCTGTGTTGGGGAATCTCTGTGTACTCCAGAGAGATACAGTAGTCTTCCCTAGGAAAATGGGAGTGAGGGTTTAGATTATTTCAATCTTAAATATGCTCTTGTTTGTGCTTGCAAACATTCAGCAGTCCTACAGTTCAGATAACTGGTATTTAGACATTGTGCATGTGAAGTTTTAAACTATTTTCCTTGCCTAAAGTAAGCCTTCTGCAGGGCACTGCTCCAGAGCTTTAACAATGAGACTGCTTGGTTTCATCCACTATCCATTTCTCATTTGTTTGCAAAAGGATACAAGGCTCTCCAAGTGCATTCTCTTGTTACACAAACTAGTTAGCTACATATACCAAATGTAATGATAAGAAAAAAAAGGTTCTGGGTTACTATATTGCTTTTCCTAATCCGTGATTGTCATAGAACTGCTCTTACAGCCTGAGCAGTGACTATTAGTCTTTCTGCAGGGCTACGAACAAGTGATTTTTTTTTTTTGTCCGCAGATAGTGTGGTGGATGTAAAGCTGAACTGTTTCTAAGTGTATCTCTAAGCAGATAATGAGTTCTCCTAACTTTTTTTAACCTCTTTTGCTTTAGAGGGAGTTAGTCACTTTTAAATCTTCCTCTTTTCAGATTCTTTATCTGACTGGGATGTTAGCTTTTAATCATAAAGACTGTAGGAGAGGGATATATGTGATCAGTATGGAATAGACCGCATCAGTAAGATAACTGAGGTTTATAATTGGAATAACATCTGTAGTTCTTCAGGCAAAAGTCTGAAGTCTCTGAGGATCAGGAATGGAAGAGGCATCTACGCAGTAAAGCCCTGAGAGATCTTCATAGAGCAGTTGAAAGTTACCAAGAACCTTACAGGTGACGGTGCTGTGATGAGAATCATCTACTTGGCCTAAATCTTTGGGGTGGGGTGGCAGTGAATTCAGCACTTATGCATTGCAGAGAAATTTCCAGTTGATTCCTTTCCTGGGGAAGGAGCTAGGTCCCCTTGAGGCTTAAGTCGTCTCTGAATAATTAATCCATTGGGTCTCTGTCCTGAGAGAGAGATGAAAGAACTGTTGAAGGCTACTGTGTTATACCTGATAAAGGAAGTCATTAGCAAGTCTTCAGATGCATTCACATAAATTAAAAACACTTGCATCCTCTGTCCTTAATAATAGATGAAGCCTTTAGGATTAGAGTTTAAAAAAAGGGGGAAAAAAACGAGTAAAACACTTACGTGAGTAGAGTAAAATTCCCTTTCACTTAGTTTGACTTGCCCCTAAATTACTTTGTTTTTCCAAACTGCCCCTGTTCTTCCTCTTGTCTTCTCCATTCTTGCATGAGATGTGGGGAAGGGGATGGTAGGGTAAAGGGACTTTTAAAATTCTCCATGTGCTAAAATTAGAGAAGAGTTAAGATTTGTTCTCCCAAATTCCTTTAATTCTAGAGTTGAAGTATTTTTCTGTGGCTAAACAAACTCAGTATTTCATTTGTAGTTGATGACTGTGTTAATGATGAATAAAATTTCAACCATTGGTGGGGAAAGAATGTTAGCATGCTTATAATTTCAGAAACAAAATTTAACATGGTTGTGTTACTTTCTTTGGGTTTGACTGTGCATTTGATGACATCAGGATATTGTGACCAAATTGCTGTTCTCCTTTTCTGTACTCCAAATTGGCAATCCTTTATGCCAAACTTTTTTGTTTTTTTCTAGATATAATGGATCCCTCCCTAGTGGTGACAGAGGACGCAGGAAAAGCAGATTTGCCCTTTATAAGCGACCTAAGGCAAATGGAGTTAAGCCTAGCACTGTTCACGTGATTTCGACTCCTCAAGCATCGAAGGTATGTGGCAGTGGGGCAAATCCTGTTTTTCTGATGATCTTGGGTGGAGAACAACTCTCGTTACTGCTGATTTACCTTGCTGCCAGTTCGTTCTATGGTAGTCAGTTATATTTGTTTTAATGAAAAATCTGCAGTGGATTTTTCGTTCTAGGGGTATGTATCTTTAATCCATTTACCTGTTTAAAATAGTTTTTAACCTCAGGTATGAGATAATCTGACCTTTCTGCCCATGTTCAGACAGCTGACTCTGTCAATGCTGACAGTTTTATCTGAGCCATAGAAATTGACTACTACATGACTATTCTTTCTTGCTGGAGTGTTAAGATTGGTGTGTCTCTTTCCTCTTCAGGAAGATAACTGACATGGTATAAAAAAAATTAGTGATCCCTCTGGGCCTTTCATTTTCTTGCTGATAATGGTATTGTATATGTTTTCACTTGAAGTCTAGTGTAGGTGAAGGAAAAAAGCAGTTAACATAGTAATATAGTAATGTATAGAACTATCTGGGTTAAAGTTCTGGTGGTGGAACATAATTCAAGCTGCAAAAAGTCATGCTATCTCTTTTCTCAAACCCTTTTTCCTAGAAGCAAAAAGCGACTAAAATTCTGGCCAAACTGGAGTGGGAGTTCTGTGGTGACACTCACAAATGGAGGGTTTGTTAGAGGTGTATATCACTTTTACCAAAAAATACATATTGGGGAGGGAGAGAACATACACCATTTTCAGAAATGTGTTGTCTAACTTGGACCAAGATAAGAATATTGTTTAATTCATAGTATAGCGTTGTTTTCTTTCATAAACCATACAATACACAGTATATGCCTAAACTTATCAAAATCTACAAGATCAGAGCTTGTTTTTTTACAGATTGTATAGGGCCTGCCTAGTACAGATAAATAAGTAGCCTTTTGGATCAAAAGTTTCTGTAAATATTTTTCAGTGTTTTGTTGTGTCCTCAAACCAGGACAGTCCTGTATTCTGGAAATTGAAAGCATTTGTGAGTTAAATCTTCCTGATGAAATCACCTTCAAAATAGAAGGTCTTTAGTATATGTTTGTATGTTAGTAACTCTGTTCTGTTGCTTAAAATGTAACAAATGAAAAAAATGTTTTACATAGCTGATGGAAATATGTACATGATCTTACTGGATAATCTTAGGCATTTGGACTGCGGATAGTATTTCAGCATTTGAGTTGCAAAATATCTAAACACCTGGCAGACACCATAAGGTATCTGGTTAATGTTCATCTGCATTGTTATTGTAGTGCAGATAAAATGTGTACTGTACAAATTACTGCTCTTATAAAGATAGCATAGGGTCTGAGACATTAAATCCTCTCCTTTGAGGGTTGGATTCAGGTAGATATGTCAGGTTGAATGTATTCTTTTGCACTCTCTCTGAACCCTTATAAAAGACCTTTTGTGTATTTATACTGTTGTCTGGGGCAAGGCTGGTGGACATGTGCCAGAACAGAGATGCAGTGGATTTCAGTTGGTACTCTTCCAATGCACAGATAGGATGTTTACATTTTAAGACTATTTCATAGGCTTTTCTGAGACTTAAAACTGCAGAGCCTAAATGTGTTTTACTAGGAAGAGCTTCTGCATACAACTTCTGTAGTTGATTCCAGAAACATAGACTAAGAGAAAAGAGTGAGCTGCTTTGTTCTTGGAAAATAATGTGCAACTTGACCTCAAGTTTTGTTCTGCACTCAGTCTTTCAGTCTAACTCGTATTTAAGGAAGATGAAACAGTGGGAACTTGTGCTGCACAGGATATTAACAAGTTTCCTCCCTTTACATCCTTCCTTCTGACTTTTCAGATACTAGTTCTCTGTTTTGCTTTGCTTGTCTGTCAGTGTGTAAACTGGATCTTTGAGTAGAAAGAAATGTGTTCTTTTCAGACTACTGATGCTTTTTGGGTGGTGGATTTAGCAGAGGTGGGTAAAGCACTGACTGTCTCCATTTGTTTTGTCTCTGCTGTGGCATGGGTGTTTGAATATGGTACATAGCTGGTTTTGTGCTAATTCCATTAATGCAGCATCTCTAGAACTGTAACTGTCACCAATTTTCAGTTAGCATGTCAGCCTGAAAACTGCAATAGATCCTAAGAGGATGCTTGTCATGTTCCATTGTCCCTGCTATGCAGGTGTCAAGGACAGCTGGAGTAGCAATGGTTTCAGTAGTAAATTTAGCTGAGCTAATTGCATATGAATCAGTGCCTTTTGTTTTTTCCACTGGAGTGCTTGGTTTTTTGCCACTCTGCCTTCTGGAGGTGCTGAAGAAAATTTAGAATTGTTTGGCTTTCTGAGGGTATATGGGTATGTTTGGGGATGAAAGCACTGCATGGGGTAATAAGTCTCAAGGTTGTGGGGGGTTTTTTTGAGTATTAAAATGTGCATGCATCTCTTCAACATTATGCACTTGACTTTAAAACCTATTGTCCTGGTTTGAGGTAAAACAGGACCAGTTTTGTTCAGTAACTTTGCTTCCTTAGCTAGGCCTCTTCTAACTACTGAAATTAACAGCATATTGTGCAGACAATGTTGGCTCTCTGAGTGATAAGACTAATGTTTATAGCTGATGCCCAGGCATGCTATGCAGAGAGGACCTTGCTTATACTTATTGCTATGACAACCAAGGCCAATCAACTTTATTGCCCCATTGGAGGGTCGGAAGCACAAAAGCATAGTCATGGCCCGACATTTAGGGAGGCCTCTGTTCGCCTGCCAGTGATCCTGATCCTGAATGCAGATCCAGAATCCAGTTCCCGTCTGTCACTGAGTCCAGCCTGGGACTGCCCCAGTGCCAGCCGGTGTCGTGATTGTCATCTTGGGAGCTTGATATGGTTTTGTATATATTTCATTATTTCTTTTTATTTTATTATTAATACTTCATTAAAGTAGTTTAGTTCCTTCTAAACTCATATGTCTCTTTTTTCCTCCTCTGCCTCTGTCTTTGAAAAGGGGTAGAGGGGAGCATCTGTTGGTCCCATCTGGGGTCCCCTGGGTCCACAGTAGCCAATCTGGCCTAAACCACAACACCTATTTTATTAACTCTGTGCTTAGGCACCATTCAGGGAATTTTCTAGTGTCCCCTGTTTTACAAAACTCAGACCATTTGAGATAGACTTTCTCCAACATTTTCCTTTCTTACAGTAACACCAGTTTTGAAGCTTAAAACTCTTACAGTCTCTTTGTGTGTGTACGTGTCTGAGGGGGCCAGAGGGGGGCGGGAAAGTGCAAGACTGTTCATTAACTGTGTATGAACCTTACTCAAGATTTTAATGATCCCCTTTGCTAGGCTAGAGAGTTCGTTTCAAAGTCATCGGGTCACAGGAGAGGACATTCCTTGCATTGACTTGGGTCTCATAGTGAAGAGGAAGACTGTCAGTCATGATTATATGATCTGTGAAAACCTTTCTCTGACTACCAGACTCTTAGGTGTAAGTTTACTACTAGCTCATCGTGACAGCCAGGATTGCTGATTTTTTGGTTTCAAGCTATGAGACCTATTTAACAAAATCAAAAGTTGTAAAGTTTATTTTGTTAAGTTGAGTTGTCTTAACTGTTGCTTTCATGCACAATAGTTAATACTCTGGAACTGAAGCCTAGGTCTCTTGGTGTCTGAGATGATAAGGTTTACTTGTGCAGAAATTTACCAGTGAATGCTGAACTTCAAGTGAAAGGGAGATGTAAGTCTTCAGAATAATCACCTGGGAATGATGGGATGCTAAACTGGAGTTTACTAGGTTTTGCGAGGATATGGGAGGGTTTTTATGGGTGTTTTGTATTTTGGGGGTGTTTGGTTTGTTTTTTTCTCTGGGATATAAATGTCTGACAGGAAAAGAGGTGTCTATAACTGAAAACAAAACCAGCTTAATATCTCTGCAGCATAATATTTGAGGACTGTATGTCTGTCTTACAGATCTTAAGTAGGTGAACAATATGCCATGTCTAAGTAGAACTGTATAATCCAAATTTCTGCCAAAGATGCTCATCTTCCTGTACACATCTAATCTATTGGTTCAGTGGGCTGTCAGGTTAAAACCTCCCCTGTGCTAACACAGGTGGATCTTTGTTCCTGTTTCCTCCTCTTCATAGTCATTACTAACATGTTGGAGGTTGCTAGTTGTACTTAATTTTGTGAAACCATGGGAGAGAACTCCCCCAGTACTGTATTGAGGGGTGCTGGCAGCTGGCATTAGCAATGAGGGTAATGGTGGTACTAAACACCCAAGTCGCGGAAATCCCCCATGTCTATAGGTATGTATGCCTTCATATTTCTTTGGTTTCTAATGTTTTGGGATTACATCCATGGGTGTGAAGGTTAGCAAAATGAAAAAAGAGGAGCTTCACATGCATTTGAGTTACTGGAAGTATGGCAATAGGAAGCATGAATTGTTGACATTAGCCCTTCAGGATTCCCTAGGATTACTCTGGAAGTATGAATGAACTCTATTGTAACAGCATGTGTAGTATTTGAGACCTTCCAAAGTATTGAGTCAGTGGGCAAGAGAATATAATTAGCAAGCACTAGAAGTACTCCTTTCTAACAAGTGGATGTTGTGCTTTGATACCTAAGCGCTTGTATTCTTAATACTGGCTTGATCGAAGATCGCACATGTCTTTAGAATTGCTGCAGAGTACAAAAAACCCCACCTTTAATACCTTTTTAGGGTGGTATGTCTTGATATTTATTTTGCCTGCCTTTCTTGGGATCAGAATTTTCCTTTGGTAACGTGTGGTAGATAAAGACAGCCTATTTTCTCCCCTATGAAATTACTGTTTCAAGCTGACGGGGGAAGATCTTTCTGACTTCAAGTCCAATTACCTGCCGAGTTGGCTTCTGCTTTATGCTGTCACAACAGCAGCTTGTATAGTCACTGGCTGGGTTCCTGCAGCTCAAATCAAGTTTCATGCTGCTACTGGAGAAGAACAAAATGCAGCTATACGAATAATTATTAGGTCGGGGAGAGAGCTGCAATTTGTGCTTTGAGTG